AATGTTCAAATGGTTTTAAAGATATGTAATTTGTCTGTGTATTTAAATACAAATTAAAATGTTGAACTAATTGAAAACAGGTTGTTTAAACATTTATAAATTTAAACGTCAATAAAACTGCATAACTTACTCATTTATATATTCAACACAGATGTAAGCTACTCAAAATCTAACGTGACATCTGGAAAACAATTAGCAGCTAAGTCTTTCTAGGAGCCACGTCACTTGCCACGTATAGGCCACGCAGTATAGTAGACGCCACATCTAGATATCGGACCAGCAGTTATTACAAACAATACTTAGCAACGTGAAAATAAAATAATAGCGAGCTGGAAAAAAGTTTTCAATTAAGTAAATTGGAAATCTTAATGATAACATGAACAAATAACAGACCCTGATAATTGCAAAAACGTTTCATTTTGTTTTCTGTTATTGTATTGTTTTTGTTATCAAAGTAATTAACTATTACCAGGAAGTGGACTTTTAGAAATCTTGTATAAAACACACAATCCTAAAGTTAATTTTTTTTGGGAGAGGACACTTTGCTGACGATGACACACACACACGCACATTGTGTACACTGAAATGTTCCTATTATTATTTCTTCGTTGCTCAAATTGTATTAATAGTAAAAAATAATTGAAAAAACGAATCGTACTAGTATATGTGTAATTAACAGTGATAGAAAAATATTAATAACCATACAAATATTGTTTAAAATGTCTTGTATAAAGTTGCTGGTTTAATTAAAATAATTTTTTACGCGAACAAGATTATTGATCTCGCTGATAATTTAATGACTGAGGTCTGTGTTTATTCACTAATTGAACAGATGCTGTTTAAACTGTTTTTGATTTTTACTTGGTAAGTAAATTTGTCGGTATTTTTTATATTACAATTTTCAAAATCAAGTTTATTATTCTGATTTTTTTAATTGTTCATAACCTCTCAATCAAAAGGTATTTTGTTTATCACTTATTAAGGACAGAAACCACACACGTTTTCGACAGTTTAATTTTTTTTCCACTAATATGGGTTTAAATCTAATTCTGATCTAACCAGAACGTTTTTAACCTCTATTAAAAATCTTATAAGTGGAGTTCTGTTGCTTCAGATTATATATTATAACGTACCAACATTAGCTGATTTAACAAAGAGTTATTTCCAATCATATTAAATGGACTTGAGAAAATGTTTAATCGTTCTTGCTGGTAGCGATAAAATAACCTGTTTGTAAAAACATGCATGTGTTGTGGTGTATATAATGTTGGTTGGGGTAGGTTTATAAAGGTTTTTGCGGCGCAACATATTTAATGATGGGGCTGGAATTAGTTCTAGTTTCTTACTGAAACACTAAATAATGAAAGACAGTTTCTACGATTAGGCCTCTAGCCTTTTTTGTATAGTCTCTGATTTTGTCTGTTTGTTTGTATTTGTGTGAGTACTTTAGGGGTTTCATACAATAAATCGATGATATGATAACTGAATGGACCCTTCAGAGAATTGGCTCGAAATTATTCGAGAGGCCTATTAATTATTTGAAAAATTCTGCACTGTGTAATTAAAATTAATATGATTATGAAAACTTGACTGTTTGATTTTTTTGGCATCAATAAATATTTGATGTATTTGACGTTTAATTATATCTGGTAATAAAACGTAATTATAAATAAACCGGGAGTGATCTCCCCTAAACTTTCTCGAATATTCTTATATAAAACAATAGGGGATGGGAACTCGGGCTTTAGACATGATTTTTAATACATTTTAAATACTTAAAGTTTTAAAAATAGAATAAAATCTCGTAGGCAAAAGAATTGCACACCAAGTGAACGCCAAATAAAAAAAGTGCATAATAGTGCGCAATATTATTAGTACTTTAAAAATTTACATTCGTTTTTTGAGAAATCGGAAGTAGCGTAAATTACTACTCCCGGTCTACGGAAATTATTCAAAATTTAACAGAAGGTAGAGAATTAGATCTTATACTTACATGTGGAATTTCATTTATCTATCTGAAATAGTACTCAAGTTATAGGCTTTTGAAAAATACAAAGTAGAAAAAGTACCACTTCCGCTTATCGGAAATTGCTCAAAAGTTGATAAGAAACTACGATTTTGATAAAATACTTATATATGAAATTTCATTAACCTAGCTGTAACGGTACTCAAGTAATCGTGTTTACACACAGACACACACAGACAGACAGACACACAGACATACGGACAGAATTGCAAAGCCCAGTTTTTCAGACTGGATTACGCATAAAACCGATTAATTTTGATAAATCTGGATTGATAATTTTTGCCCGATTAAAATAAGTCCTCTATACTTCGGATGTGATGAAGGATTGAGGTGTAATACTTTGAAAATTGTTAAAATTTCAAGTGATTTTTGTGCACGATTACAATACTTTTTCTATACTTCGTATATACGAGAAAGTAAAAAAGGCACAAACTATTTGATTTTCACCAGATAATGGAAAATAAACAAAACCATCCTACTATTCGATCGGATATTATACAATTCTAATTTTTAAGTAACCGGAAGTAATCTCCTCTAAACTTACTCGAATATTATGATATAAAATAACAGAGGATGGCGACTCGGGATATAGACATGGTTTTTAATCCATTTTAAATACCATAAATATTAAAATAAAACAAAATCTCGCAGAAAAAGAATTACACACCAAGTGAACGCCAAACAAAATGTGCATAATAGTAAGGAATATAATTAGTACTTTATAAATTCACGTTCGTTTTTTGAAAAATCGGAAATAGCGTAAATTTCTACTTCCAGTCTAACGGAAATTACTCAAAATTTGACAGAAAGCATAAAATTAAATCTTTTACTTACATGTGAAATTTTATTTATCTATCTGAAATAGTACTCAAGTTATAGGCTTTTGAAAAATTGAAAGTAGAAAAAGTTAACAGAAATCGCTTAAAATTTGGTACTGATCTACGATTTTGATAAACATTTATGATATATATGAAATTTCATCAACCTAGCTGTAAAGGTATTTAAGTTATCGTGTTTACAGACACACACATACACACACATACACACACACATACACACACACACAGACATACGGACAAGATTGCAAAAGTATGTTTTTCCGACTTAGGGAGCTGTAAAACGTCGAGATTTAAATAAATCTCGATTTCTTTTGCACGATTACAAGACTTTCTATATACTTCGTATATTAGAGAAAGTAAAAAAAGAACTACCTCATGTAGTTTCAAAATGTATTTAAAAATTTTATCGGCAAAATTTATTTATCTGGATTCTAAATCTTAGGAAAAACTACACTTAAGAATAAGATAGAGCTAGAGATCTACATCTAAATCTCTATCTCTATCTAAAACTAAAATATATGTTTGTATACTAAACTATTTCAGACCTTAATTATTTCATATAAATCTTTGTCTGATTAGCTATGGAATTGGATAATAAAAAATAGAATACGGAAAATGAGATATACTAGAATTTAGTCTCAATTGACATTTTTAAAACATGCTTATGGTTTTTGCTATGATGCATGTTCTAAGTGTAGATCAGTGCGAGTGATTGTTGGTGCGAAAAGTATGTAGAACGCATGGAATGATGACGCGTATAGTGCGACAATGACGATTTTGTGTAGAGACTGATTGCTGGGTGGTGTGTGAGGCAGTCTTCTCTTGATAGTCGTGGCGAAAAGATGTACGTGAGTCAAGTATGATAATAAATCTAAGAACACGAAATCTGCGTTCATCTCATTCATTGGTCGTCACTTGTATTGTCTCGGTGAGCAAGTGTATGAAGCCTGTCTGAGGATACAATCCCTCTACACGGTAGTGCAACGTAATATAGTGGTATGGAATCGAATCAAGTGAAACCCTCTCACTAAGCGTAACATGGTGGAGCATGCGAAACGACAGTCAGATCCGAAGACCGTGCAATGAAGACTCGTGTTTGTCTGTGAAAAGCATTGACAGGACCATCCAATGCTTTGGGTGTCAGGGTTTTGGCCACTTTAAGAGAGACTGTCCAAGTGGAAAGGGTGGTATGTTCTTCAAGGGTATTAATCAACTTAATAGTGGTAGATGACTATCATTGGTTCTAAACAGAAGTACACATACTAGATTGGGTACTATACGGTGCTGGGTAGGGGATATAATTGTTAAGACACTTAGGGATACTGGGGCAAATGTTTGTGGAGTTAGAAGGAATTTTGTACAATCGCATCAATATACAGGGGGGGGGGAGAGTAAGGGAAGAAGGGTTTGGGGGAATCGTTCACTCATGGCCTATCGCAATTATGAATATAAAGACACCTTACTTTACGGGTAGCGTTAGGGCTGCAGTCTTCACTACAGGACCATATGATTTTATTCTGGGGAACATAAAAGGAATATCGGACCCATCTGATAACCAGATTTCAGAATGGATGACTAGACATCACATAAACATGGTACAGACTAGGAGAGGAAGGAAATTATAAAGGAACTGGGAGCCATGAAAATTGATGGTGACATAAGTGAGGAAAAGATAACAGAAGAATCATCAACCGTCTAGGAATCATTGAATAATGCTGGTCTGTGGACCCCTACACAATTTCAAGAGGAACAGAGAAAAGACCCTAGCTTAGGAAAAATATTTAGACTAGCTAAGAAAAACTCTAGAATGCTCTCTAAAACAACAGAAAATGGATTTATTATCAAAGATAATACGCTAATGAGAATCTTTAGAGACCATACCAAGGAATACAAACAATTGGTGATAACACACAGATATAGGAAGATATGTATGTAATTTGTTTATATTTAAACAGAAATCAAATTTTGGAACTAATTGAAAAATGTGTGCAACCATTATATTTTGACACGTCCATAAAACGTCATACCTTATTCAATTATATATGCGACACTAATGTAAGTCAATTTAAATCAGTGGTAACATCTGGCAAACAATTAGCAGCCGCGCCTAACCAGAAGCCACGTCACTTGCCACGTATAGGCCACGCAGAGTCTTGTAGACGCCACTTAGCAACTTCAAATACAAAATATTCGTTGCATCAGAAGATAAGTGTTCTTGATACGGATAGTTAAGTTAAGCGTATTATAGAATATACTATTAAATTAAAGCTCAAGTAAGAACTTATCTCTCTCTCTCCCTCTCTCTCTCTCTCTCTCTCTCTCTCTTAACATTTTTCCTAGACTATTAGATCAGCATCTTTAGCAACTTGTGTAGAACTTAAAGATACGAAATTTCGTTGAGAAAAAAAATGATAATACAAAATGGGTCATCTACAAAGTATTTAATAATGGAATTAAAATTAAAGTCATATTCCTATGTGGAAACACACCTTTAATTTATGCAACCTGAGCAATATTTTTTTAAACAAGAACTTTCGAGAGAAACAAAAAATCTAACACGGCAAATACAACGACGTCATATTAAAGGAATTAGACACTATTTAAAATAAAACAAAGTAAATAAACGGCTTTAAATGAAAGCAATCATTGATTGTAGAATTTAAAAAAAAATAGAATAAAAACATACATGTTAAAAATAACACATAATTTTTTATTACGTTATTAATAATTGAGCCACAACCAGTAAGTTCTAAATTATTTGTCTCATATTAAAAAAAAAGTCTGTTTGCGTTTAATTTAGTTGCTATTTTGCTCCTATTTTGATTAAATGTCGTTTCCGTATTGAATTTGCTTATCCAGTAAAAAAAACGGTTAAGAAGTCTTATTTTAGATTAAAATTTGTTTAGGCTTAATATTCCGTTTCTCCATTAACTTACGTTTGCAATTAGATGTCAGATTCCTATTAAAATACAGGTTTAATTTTTTAACATTTACGTTTTGTGATCTAGATAAAATTCAAGTTTTAGGGTAGGTTCCGTTTCAGTTTAAATTTCGTAAGTGTTAACGATTTGTCTCCGGTTACTCTTTAAAATTTAGTTTCCCGTTAAATTTCCGTCCCCATATACAGTTCCGTTTTAGATAAAAATTTCGTCTTCAATTACATTTTATATACTGGCTAAATTTTCATTTCTTATTACATTTCAGTATTCGTTTCAAAAGCAGTTTGCCAAAACAGTTTAAGTGAAGGTTAGCGATCATATTCTGTTAACAGTTGCGTTTACGGTTAAAGTTATACTTTCGGATTGTTATCCGGATTGGAATAATTTCCGATTTGAATACAATTTTAATTACATGCCCCAATCATCTGCATTTATTTGCCTTACGACTTTCGTTGAATGTTATTTTTGTTACTTTTGAGCAACAATAGTTAAATGTTTGTTTAATAACTTTTTCTGAGAAGCTCCACTTGAGTGTTTTCATCTTTATGATTCAGGGCGTCGTGTACCAATAACGACAATGAAACTACAAACGTTGTTGTTTTCTTATCTGACTACTTTAAATTGCTTGATGTGTGTGGATGGCAGGGATGACGAGACCAGCACTAATCTTCAAAGCAGATCATCTGAGGGAGTAAATATTGCCTGTCGTTATAATTATATATCATTTATTAATCTTAAACTTTTCTATGTTAGGTTCACATGTAGATTGGACATATATATATATATATATATATATATATATATATATATATATATATATATATATATATATATATATATATATATATATATATATATATATATATATATATATATATATATATATATATATATATATATATATATGTATATATATATATATATATATAATTTACATGTGAACCTTATATATATATATATATATATATATATATATATATATATATATATATATATATATATATATATATATATATATATATATATATATATTACTTATTACCTATTTTACTTTCTCTCATATAAAGTACAGAGAAAGAAGTGTAGAAGTGCGAAATATCGCAATCGAGATTTTCTCGAAAAAACGTAGTGTTTTAATTTAGTCTGTCGTCCTGAATGCCCATCTGAGTGCTTTGTGTCTCTCCGTCTTCATGAAAACAAGATAACTTGATAAACCTGTCAGTTATGTTAACAAAATATAATCTATGGGTATTATATTCAATTTGTAGCATTATATTTATTTTCTGTATTATCCTTTGAATGTTTTCCAGTAACAGGAAATATTCTAAATCAATATCATCGTTTCAAAAAGCCAATACATTTTGTATCGTTTGTTTAAGTTGACGAAATTCGAATTAAAATTAAAGTAATTAAATTGTATGGTCAAACCCCTATAGTAAAAGCCCCTCTGTGGTCAAACCCCGCTGTGGTCAAACCCCCTATGGTCAAACCGCCTATGGTCAAAGCACCTGTGGTCAAAGCACCTAGGATCCAGACACTGTAACTTGGGTACTTTTTATTTATGTATTCTAAAATATTTATAAATTGAGTACCGTTTCAGCTAGGTGTGCGAATTTATAAAGAAATAGGTAAACAAGTCTATTCTATTGATTCTTTGAAATTTGTATTCACTTTCAGTGACAAAAATTTCTTTTTTTCTCTCATTTCCATTACTGATGAAACATTTCTTCTACCGAAACGATTTTTTTTTCAAATAATTCACGTTGATCTAACCCCGATGATATAAAGTTTTGCTAAATTAAATGACTTATTTACTTTGTGAAATATTTACACGGTTAAGAATTGCAATTTTTTTTTATCTGAGGCAATTGTGATATTTTATAAATATATATATATATATATATATATATATATATATATATATATATATATATATATATATATATATATATATATATATATATATAAACATTTTTTATTTTTACAGTATCCATTACCTTATGTTGGAGCAATTAAGTTTCCAATGTATTCAGGAAAAGAGATTGCTATTGAAGGAGTTATCCAAAACCAAGCTTCATAGTTAGTTGAAAAATATTTTTACGAATTGAATAGAAATGTATAACTCTTTTTTTAGCATTTATGTTGCACTAGCCTTCCTTGAAAGGTCATGCACTGGCTAATAATATATCTACAAATGACCGTGACTTGTCTGTTTATTAAGCATCATATATGCAGCATCGCCTGTTTCGGAAATACACTAACCACAATCAACCAAAACTAAAATTAAAACACAAAATCAAACACAAACCTAGTGAAAACACAAACTCAAACGAAAACAAAACGCAAACATCAACGCAAACGCAAACATAATTGTAAGCACGCACTGAAACACAAGCACAAACCCAGACACAAATTAAATACAACACAAAGCACAAACGCAAAAAAAAAGAAAACAAAAAAAAAACAGCAAAGAAAACGCAAACACAAATACAATGAAAAAACAAAAATTCAAACACGATGGAAAAATTAACGAAAATTAAATACAAACGCATAAGGAAATGCAAACAGAAACGCAAACACAAAAACTAACACAAACACATAAGCGAAAAAATCAAATACAAACAAAAGCACAGACGACAACATCAAAACAAACTAAAAAAAGTAATTTATTTATGTATTTATTTTTTATAATTTATTTTTGTAAATGATAAAAATTATCTAATTTGCATACTTTTTTAAAACAAAATAGAAACTTTCCATAGGTAATATATTTAGTTTAGTTTTGTTCTTTGCACCATAGGTCAATGAAAATGAATGTTGTAAAATGAAAATGTAGTTTGAAATTAATCAACCATATGTTTTTAATAAAAAGTTGTCGATCAAGTTGTTTTTTTTTAACTAAAAGCATGTCATACAAGCTTGTCCGTCCGCCCGACACTAAGTGCAGAATAAATTTCATCATTATATATTAAATATAAATAAAGATTAACTCTGTATTAAACGTCTTTTTTAGAGGAAAAAAATCTATATAAATAGTGCGTTTCCGTTTTTTAATGTCAATGGATATCAATTGCATAAAGAAAAAAGAACAGTAATTATTATGAAGGAGAAATAAAGTACAATTTGAATTTAACTAAAAAAAATTTTTATACCCACAGCTTCTCCGTGAAACTCTGCCATACTGATATGTGTGACTACAACGTGCCTTTCATAATGTTAATTGACTTCATTGATAACATGCGGGTGATGTCATCCTATTATGATTTCCCCTCTGAAGGAATAGAAAATACTGGAAAACTACCTTTCAAACATGCACAGCAATTTAGAATTGATTTAAAAATTACAAACGAACTTTTTACGGTAATCACACGCATACACATATCTATCTATTTATATATATAAAGCAATGTATGTTTGTGTGTGTGTGTGTGTGTCTTTTATGCATTACTACACCTCTCCTCACATCGCCGTGAAACTTTGAGAAGTTGTTGTGAATATTCCTGGGAAGGTTTCTGCGGAATTTTTTTTCTGAATTGCAGGGGTGGCGTCCCGGCAGGGCGCAATTTGTTTTTTCTCTATATACGGTATATAAAAATAAAAGTCCATCTTGGTTTGACATCGTTCATCCGATAGCCATGAGACCTTGGAAAGTTCATTATAACACTCTAGGGAAGGGTTCTAAAAAAAAATTAATTACGCAAGGACGGCGCCACGGGAGGGTGCGATTTTTCTCTATATACGGTTTATAAAAATAATATAAGTGAATTGCAGTGACACCGTTCATCCGTTAGGCATGAAACTTTGGGGCTTTCATTATAAAACTCTAGGGAAAGGTTCTGTAAAAAATCATTTTTAATTTCGCAAGGGCGGCGCCACGGGAGGGTGCGATTTTTCTCTATATACTGTATATTACAATAAAAGTCGATTTTGGTGTGACATCGTTATCCGATAGCCATGACTTTGGGGAGTTGATTGGGACACTCTGGGGAAGGGTATTGTAAAAAAAATCATTTTTAATTTCGCAATGGTGGCGCCCGTGAGAATGAGTTTTTTCTCTGTATACGGTAAATAAAATTAGTAAAAGTTAATTGCCGTGACACCGTTCACACGATCGCCATGAAATTTTGGGAAGCTGTTTAGAATATTACTGGGGAGGCTTCTGCGCTAAAAACATTTTCAAATTCTCAGGGGTGGCGCCCTGGCATGGCGCGATTTTTTTTCTCTCAATATATGTTATATAAAAATAAAAGTCGATTGCGGTCTCACAATGTTTATCCGATAGCCATTAAACTTGATTAGAACACTTCAGGGAAGGGTTCCGTAAAACATTATTTTTAATTTTGCCAGGGCGGTGCCACAGGAAGGTGCGATTTTTTCTATATAAGGTATATAAAAATAAAAGTCGATTGCGGTTTCACGGCGTTCATCAGATCGCCATCAAACTTTGGGGAGTTGATTACAACACTCCAGTGAAGGTTTCTGTAAAAAAAAACTTGTTTTTTTTAATTTCGCAATGGCGGCGCCACGGAATGGTGGGATTTTTCTTAATATATGGTTTATAAAAATAAAAGTCGATTTTGGTTTAAATCAACTTAAATTTTTATATACCGTTTATCGAGAAAAAAACAAATCGCACCCTACCGGGGCGCAACCTATACGAATTTGAAAATGTTATTTTGCGCAAAAACCTCCCCAAGAAATATTCTTAACAACGTTCCAAAGTTCCATGGTGTTGTGATGCGAGGTGTAGTTTCAAGACAATGTGATGAGAAGTGTAGAAATGCATAAAAGACAGACAGACAGACACAAACATAAATTGCTTTATATATATATATATATATATATATATATATATATATATATATATATATATATATATATATATATATATATATATATTATATATATACATATCTTTATATATATATAAATAAATAAATAAATAAATATATATATATATATATATATATATATATATATATATATATATATATATATATATATATATATATATATATATATATATATATATATATATATATATATATATATATATATATATATATATATATATATATATATATTTATGACAAATGATCTCCGGACAAATGATCTCAGACAAAATATATCAGACAAATTATCTTACAGATAAATAAATGATCTCAGGACAAATGATCTCAAGACAAACGATCTTAGGGACAAATGATCTCACGGACAAAAGATACCAGGACAAAATATATTAGGACACATGATACCATGGACAAATGATCTCAGACAAATTATCTTAGACAAAATATTTCACAGCAAAATTTTAATAGTGTATAGGATGATTTTAGTTGATCTCTCCCTGTTCGCATAGTATTTTCACAAGCTATAATATAATCAGTATCTTCAGCAGTGGTCGGCGTGGTAGATAAAGCTCATGGCTGCTAAACCGAAACGTCTCGAGTTAGAACCCTCGGGCAGATGAGGAACAGCTACTCTTCTAGGAGAGACAACTCCAAAATAAACAACTGCTTCCTTGCAGTTTGTTCTTGGTTGGACAAAGGTTATGGAAGCAAATCCAAAAAAAGCAGGCCGAAATCGGAGTCAATGGCCTCAATTGCGCATAACTAGTTGAAGAATAAAAATAAAAAAAGGCTTATTCGAATGTAGAAAAACAATTTTAATAAGGCAACCAAAAAATTGTTTATAACTGTGACAACGCAATAAACAATGACATCACAAATGTGTACACTAAGGACAGAACACAAACATAATGGCGTCATCTTCCGATTTTAGAATATAAAGAAATGAACTATTTCATTCAAATTCGATTTAAATCTACGTGCGCTATGAAAATTATCTCCGCCTAAACTTATAAAATTTACATTATCTATTTGGATTCTAGACCTAGATTTAGATCTAGAGATTCTAGACTTAGATCTAGAATTTCTAAATCTAGATCTACTGAAAATATAGACTTAGACTCTAGATAGATCTAGATCTAGACTCTATTTAGATCTAGAATCTATTCCAATAATACATTTCCAATAATACATTTCTACACTAAACTATTTCAGGCCTTAATAATTTTATAAAAATCTTTGTTTGTTTAGCTATGGAATTGGCTAATTTAGGATACAATTTAATTTGAAATAATTGGGTAAATAATTGAGACTAAGTCAATCTTTTTTTTTTTTTCAATTTTTTTTTTATATGTGAATAATAAAGTTGCCTATCGGGATTTGGCAGGACACGGGGCATATGAAGTGTGGTGAGACACATGCTCAACTGAAATAGGTGTTTTTAAAAGATAAAAATTACTACCATTGAATTTACATACTGTAAACAATCTCGTGACAATGGGAAAAACAAAATAGTTTTTAAATCGGATCTTTCTAACCTATCATGTTCTCAGGTTTGGGTTGACGGAAAAATGACTGACACTTTCAAAAATGAAATGCCCTTGGAAGAAATTATGTACGTGCAGGTCGACGGGCAAGCAGAGGTTAACTGGATTCTATTCTCAGTAAGTTTTCAATGTGCAATATGATGAAAACATAATTTGACTTGTCCTGTCGCACATACGTTTTATATTTTACTAGCCGTCCCGGCCAGGCCCTGCACTGGCATCTCTGAAAAACGTATGTGAAGGACCATAACTTGTGTGTTTAGTAATCAGCATTTATCCGGCATTGTCCACCATAACCACAACCAACCAAAACATACAAAAACCGCAAACATAACACTAATACAAAACAAACACAAACGAAAACACAAAAACAAACGCAAAGACAAACCCAATCACAAACACAAAGAAAGCACACACACTAAGGCAAACAAAAAAAGAAAGCAAACAAATCCAACCACAAACACAAAGAAAACACAAATGCAAAGAAAAAGCAAACAAAAACACAAACACAATGAAAAAAAGCAAAATAAAAGAAATCCAAACCCAATTCCAAACGCAAACACAACCACAAACGCAAACCCAAACTCAAACACAAAGAAAACACAAACGCAAAGATAAACTCAAAGTGTCCACAGTCTAGCCCGAGGCGCCAAATCGCACCATGACGAAATGCGGGGTAACCGCCTGATTCAAGTTAGTAAACGACTATAGTACCCAACTTATGCATAGTCTTTTGAACCATAGCGAACACGGGAAGGCCCGGGGCGCCAAATAGCACCCTGTCGGGGTGCCGGAGGACGCTCGGATTTGATTCACTTAAAGACTAACCTTACTTATCCATAGTCTATCGCACTGTTTAAAACGAAATTATGAACCATAGCGCTCACATGATAACCCAGGGCGCCAAAGCGAACCGTGCATTATCCGTAAATGGAAAGAAATAAACATATAGATTTGTAGGACCTGGCTTATTAAATGTTATTGATTTAAAAAAATAATTAGTAAACTGTATGTTCAGTGTATAGAATAAATAAAAGGCAGTATTAAAAATACCAACAACATTGCACTTAATCAATCCCCGCTAATTATGTAATTATTTTTTTTTCCTAACACCAAAAACAAAGTAATAAAAATTAAATTCTTTCTTCCCCCAATTTAATGGCTTTTTTAATGGAAAGTAACTGTGTTTTCCAAATCAAGGGACGTTATGAGAACTAGAGGACAAAATGCAAATACATTTCAGATACAATTTTAGAAATTTTATAAACGTTGATACACTTTTTAAATTTTTTTAGTCGAGTGCTATGAAACTTTGGAAAAATAACGAAATTACTTCCGAGAAGGATTCTACAAATATAAATTTTAATTTCTAATAGGCGGCACTAGGGATGGTGCGATTTTTTATAATACACGGCTTGGCGCCCCGAGTTCCATAGAGGAATTCTTAGCACTTGCTAACTGTTATTTGGGGGCGTCCTGAAAAGCGTGTAGGGGTACTACTATATTCAGCAGTAAAGCTGCAAAAGACGTAGCCGCCGGCGACCCCACCCCCCTACCCTGCAGCCGAGTGACCCGAAGCGCCCCGGGCTCGTTTTGCTTTATAATTTCGTTTAAAACAAAAGACTATACACCAATATATTATGGGCAATAAATTCGTTAATTGTATCGAATCAGGCGGGTCAACCGGCGGCCCAGCAGGGGGCGATTTTGCACCCCGGGTTTCCCGTGAGCGCAATGGCGCCTACGTTCGTTCTAAACGTTGCGATAAAAATAGATAATATGGGGCATTAAAGTCGTTCATTAAACCAAATCAGACGCGTTCCCCGGCGTCCTGGCAAGGTGCAATTCTGCGCTCTGGGCTGTTTCTTGAGCGCTACGGTGCGATAGAATAAGGATAAAATGTGGACGCTGTAGTCGTACACTAAATTGAATCAAGTACGTCCGCTGGCACCGCGTCAGGCTGCTATTTAGCTCTCTGTGTAATCGCTAGAGCACCATGGTGCCTACCTTAGTTTTAAGGAAGTAGTGTAAAAGCGTGCTCCAGAGAGCGCCCTTTAAGTCCCTGATACATGGACGGTCACCGAAGTGTGTTCTACCTCACTATTACCGTGAGTGATTAACGTACACTCAAGGCTTTTATGCAGTAGTATAGGTAAACCTGTGCCCCGATAAATATGGTCCAAGCTCAGGCATTGTTTACATTTAAAGAACTCAGTTTTAGAAAAAAAATATCACACGTCTAAGAATATACGATTGAGGCAACTCTTCTTATATATTTCGTCAAAATTTTTTCTATCCTCGCGGGGACGGGCAAGCTAGTTTTAAATATAATTTATAATTATTTTGTAAAGCTCATAAATATATCTATTTTTGTTTGTTTTGTTATTAACTATGATTAATGTTATTAAATACTTTTTTTTCAGAAAATGAACCCCGTAAGTGTGTACGCAATTCATATTTTTAAATATAATATTATTTCTAGCATAGATTAATTATTCTCATTTTAATATAAGAAAACCAATTTTTATAACAATTTCAATATGCTTCGAAAAAAGAATTTGCGAAGTAACACACATAATGTATACATTTAACATAATCAGGATTAAATTTAAAAAAAAAAACAATTTTTTTTTCTAAATTTAAGGCCGGTATGGAAATAATTGAAAGACGAAATGGCGGTGAAAAAATTGTAATCTATGGATATCCAACCAACGATACTTACGGGTTTGTATAAATACATAATTAACCTTTTTGGTTCAGTAGTAAATATTTTTTAATTAAATCTCTCAAGTATTTACATTTTATACTTTTCCTAGCATTGGGCATGTGATTTATTTAAAATCTGAGGATTACAAAGAATGCAAAACCAAAGATTATGCAAAGTATGTTGGACGAAAATGTTTCACATTTAAAACTTATTTCTGAAATTTTAATTTCAAATTATTGCCATTTATATGATGAAGATATGTTTGATTTGTTTGTTCATAGTAAACTATTTTTTCAGGTTTAGCATTAACATTAAATGCATAGAGGATGGCAGTGGAAATAATGTTTTCCACCTAGACCCAAGATTTATTCACGGTGTTGATATTAGAAAAACTGTCATTGACCATTATCAAAACGGAAAATGGGTTAACTATATGACTATTTTGACTTCGAAATTAAAAAGATGTTCATCTTATAGTTATAGTAAACTTTTTTTTTTCAGGTTTTCATTCAACATTAAATGCGTACAAGATGGAAGTAAAAATATTGTCGTCCACCTAAACATAAGGTTTAACACAAGAGAAACTGTTATTGACTATTTTCAAAAAGGAGAATGGGCTTTCAACTCTATCGATACTGTCTATGACTATTTTGACTTCAAAATTAGAGAGCAGTTTATTGTTCAGTTTTTAACAAGTCCAGGTTCAACTTTGGTAATTTTAACATTTTTTTTTTAAAATTTAGATTACACAGATAAAACAAATATTTTTATTTAACATGTTTCACCGTGATTAAAAAATCCATATGTTAATACTTGTTAACCTTCAGACAAAAAAAAAAGTATATAGCCACTAATAGCAGTTCTTGTGGCCATGGAAACCACGAGGTGTGAAAACTAACACATTTTGAAAACTCTATGTCTGTTCTCAAAATATATTTCTTATATCTGACAACATATTTACAAATTTCTCAAAAGAATCTATACATTTATACGTTTTGACATTGTGATAGCATTTATTTATTTTTAATACACATTTCTCGTAGAACTATTAACAAAAAATAGGGGTTGTGCTATATAAATATCAATATTTCCTAGAGCATTGCAGTAAACTTAACTTACAAACAAAGTTTTGAAGATTGGAATAAAAAGGTGAATGCATTTAAAAGTTTCAGGCTGTTACGACAAAGGTTTCCTGAGCATTAGCTATTTGATTTTTGCTTAAAATTACAAAGTTGAGAAAACTTGAAAAGAATGTAGGAAATGGCACTGTACGGTTCCTCTTACAGGAAACAATAAAAGACGTCTTGTTTAATGTGGAAGATTCATTAGAATAATAAAATGAATATTGATTTTAGTTTTAAGTTTCAGAATTTTTTTTTATATAAGCAGAAATAATGTATACAGGATTAATGACTATTATAATTATACATTAAATATCATATTCTCCAAATACTATTCGAAGAACAACTATTAACTGACTAGATTAAGCTCTGTTTGTTAGCTGGTCTTCTCACTTCTTTACAATGTCTATCACTTTTTAATTTTTAACGTGCACACGTTTATTGACTCTTGATAATAGCTTATAACCCAATCCTGTGTTCAGTGCTTGACGCTAGAGACTCCGCCCCCCCCCCCATTGATGTTAATGATGCGTGAGAGATAAAAGAGCCGTACATTACAAATGATCAGTAGTATATTAGGTCCCTTTTGGGTATCATGGCGCAGGGGGAGCAGGAGCAGGAGCAGGAGCAAAGGATATATAGGAAAATACTCCCCCAGTCTGGTACAATGACATATAGCAAAATACTCCCACCACCAGGCGCAGCCTGGGTGAGCCTGGTACAACGAGATATAGTAAAATACTCCCTGGGGGAGGCGGAGGTACACCGACATATAGTAAAATACTCACCCAACTGGGTGAGGGTGGGTGAGCAGGCGGCGAGCCTGGTACAATGAGATATAGTAAAATACTCACCCACCTAAGTGAAGATGGGTGAGGGTGGGTGAGCAGTCTGGTACAACGACATATAGTAAAATACTCACCCACCCTAGGGTGGGTGAGCAGGTGGGGGAGTAGGTCAGTAGGTCACCACCGGTGACCTTGTGACGTAATCAGTGACCTTGTGATGCAATCAGTGACCTTGTGACGTAATCACTGACCTTGTGGCGTAATCATTGACCTAGTTACGTAATTTTAATGATAAAATATACTACTATGATCATTCAACCTTGAATAACATTTCCGTGTAGTTAGGATCAAGTATTACGTTTATGCTTATCAGCGATCCATTTCGTATTTAAATGAGTGCTTGTAAACCATACACGCAACATAATGCTTACACATTAACACATGTGTCGTTTACAGTAGGCTACGGTGTAAAGTCTAATGTACCCGTTCAACCCTAACACAAAATGATGTAACGCGATTATAAACAGGTCGATGGTTGACTATCAAACAGATGAATAAGGGATGGGCTTTCGTTCATTTTTCAAACTTACTGGCGTTAACTCAACGTCTCTGAAATATGGTCTTAAAATAGTTGCATAATCTTATGAGTTTCAAAGGTAAAAGAAATGACAACCAATTGAAAAATGTCAAATTTTACGTATATCATCAGACTTACTATATATATTTTGCCCTTAGATTTTTGTCATGTTATATTTTGTTCTGTGATCTTATGTTAGTTAGATCATTTATTTTTTTGTTGTAATTCGATATTTCTAAGCCGCATTACCAATAAGTGTAACCTAATTTTAATCCCTCGTTATACAAAGTTAGAGTAATCCTACATAAATCGAATTCGGTATTTATCACAAGATAAGAATTTTTACACCTCCCTGAGTCAGAAAAACTTAGTTTTGCAAGTTTTTCCGTATGTCGGTATGTCTGTCAGTCAGCGAGTCTTTTTTCTGTGTGTCTGTAAACACGATTTCATACATGTGCGTTCAATTTGTGTGTACATGTTTTCCTCTTTTCTAGCAATGTATCACACAAATGAATTTTAAAAAATTCTAAAGCCCTGTTGCGCAGAAAATGCCGTGCTCATTATTGTTTTATAAGAATATTCGAGAAAGATTATGATAGATTAATCCTGGTTCATTTTAAGTTTGTAATGATAAAACTAAATTTCTGTGAGATATCAACTGAAATGCCAGGTTAGGTAGGTTCGATCTATAAAAGTTTCTTAATAAAAACGTGTAGTAAAAATTATTTAAAAAGAAAAAATGATAACGATTTGAAAACGAATTTCTTCAGGTTAAAATAAACTCAAAATTCGAAAAGAGGTTGGATCACAAAATGGACTGCTATGATCATTTGGATTTTGATGGAGACGTGAGAGTGGAGAAAATATTGATGTCATAAACCGACAACAGATCTTTACACTTGCACATATGATGCATTGTATTTTATGTAATAGTATTATTTGTAGAAAAACTAAAAATAATTGTACACATTTTATTTAAATAGTAAACATAATTACAAAAACAATCTTATATTGAAAAATGTATTATTGCCTATTTGATGTAATCCAATTTTTGATTACTAATTGACCAGGTGCAATTTCAACTTTTTTTTTAATTGGTAAGGACAATTGTCGATACTCTTTTGAATTTCAATTTTAAAAATCAAATTTATTTAAAAAATTAAATGTTTTAACCTTGTTTTAAAATTGTACATGATAGTTTGTCATAAAGCTCTGAATCAATTGATTTTGTGTTTATCACTTAATTCCAGAAAAAATGTGTTTCTCGATGTTATGATCTGTGTTAGATCATGCAAATAGGTGCGAATGAATGTTGGTTCGGGCGTATATTGAACGAGTGAAAGTGTAACTCGGTACGCATAATTGTGACGCTTAGGTGTAGGATCGTTGTTGCCGGGGAAGAAGCTTAAAGAAGTCTTGCTCTTGTTGTCTTAGGGTGAGATCATGTTTGTAGTCAAGTCTCAATATCGTCCGTCCAAGTCGTAATATGTATTATTATGGTGCTATAATTAATGAACTTAAATAATGCCATCTGGTATACGTTGATGTCGTCGTACTTATTAGAACTCTAGTGTAAATACATAATTGGTTAGAGAGGAATTGAATGATAGTAAAATAACTCTCACTGCATAACTGCTGGTTACATAGTCCCCAGTTATAACACTTGAAGGTATTTACAATAAACGTAAGGATATTATCTGATTGAATATTGAATAATTTTTAATAGTATTAAATGCAAAAATCCAAATGCATCACGAAACAATTCGTTTTTTGGCAAAGGTGCCAAATTGCACAATAGTTAAAGGTTAATTATAATTAAGGTAGTTGAAAACAATTCTGGTTTTACAATATTATTTTTTCTATCTTTTGCTTTCTTGATGAGGTCTAGTCATTTGCTCTTAGTGCTTTACACCTTCCAGCCATAAGCCAGAGACAGTGTTTGCAGGTACCACATAGTAAGACCATTTTAAAATCATGGCAAAGCATATACATTTTAAGACATTACTGTTTTAATCTTTTTTTTCTTTTTGTGAGGATGTAATATTAATTTTTACTTTAAAGAAACAAAATTTATTTGTTTTCATTTTAGGATTTCAATATTTATCAATACAAAAAAAACAAATATTCATTGTTCAACCTACTATTTAATTTTAAATGTGTTATTAATTGTGTCTAGATTTTCGACCAAGCATCTGAAGCATCCCTCCTCCCCGAAGAAAGTCTAGCGCTCACCTCCCCGCGAACGAAATTAAATTTATATAGAAAACTTATACTTTTACAAGTATTAATATAAGTTATCTTTTGATTTTGACGAAAGACAACTGATGCAGGGTAATCCTGAAAAAAAATAAAGCGTGGGTTACCTCCCGTAATAATTAATCATGCACTAATAAATTTCGATAACTCGCTACAACAGGAATATATTTAGACACAATACCCTTGTATAACCTTTTCAATTTAGAAATGCAAGTAGGGGTTGTTAGTACTACACCAATTTCAAAGCAATTGATGGGGGGGGGGGGGGGTAGTGACCCAATAACAAACTCATTTTAACGAAACAATCATACATCCAGCTTTATTAACAACCGACTATATATAATATCGCTAAAACTATCTGATCATAATTTAAATCTATCAAAAGTGGAGGGGGGGGGGGGGATCCCATATAACAATTTCAAAATTTACCCGAGGAAAGTTTTTTTGGAGAAAATGTAATAACTGATTAAGTCATCCACGTCTGGAATGAGGGGCTGGTGAAGCATTTTTTATTTTACTACAAAGACCTTTTTTTTCATAAAAAAATAATGCCTTTAACCCCTTAATGCCTAAATTATGGTTCAAGCGTGTAAAAATTTATTTGTGCTGATTTTCTCTCATCATACTGACACCGAATTTGAGTTATATAGTAAATTTGGACTTATTTTTATGCTAATTACGGTATGTCGCGAAAACACGACATCAGGCACTTATGGACCAAACGGTAATTTAATTTTTTTTTAGTCCGGGTCATTATACTATTTTTACTGTCACGTGTTTCTCTAAATATCCACGCACAAGCAATAAAATATTACACACTGAACATACGGACATGCAAGGAGATGTAGAATTACTTGCAAAATTCATGAAAAGTATACTTTATTAGCTCAGGCATAGAGTTACAGAACTCTGCTGCACCAGCTCACTGACTAACTCTTATGAATGGGTATTTTTAAGCCTTGCTGTCGTGGTTCTACTACACTACATTAACACACTACATATGAAAGGACTTCCTTCAATGTGTAGAGCCTTTGTTTTTCCCAGTTACGTCATTATCGTGAACTCTTATTCAAGGTCAACTAATAAAGACGCATATTTCTCATTTGATCTATATTTGCTATACACACAAAGTATGTGAACAAATACTGTCCTAAATGACAGTGTTCAGCCATTGTATATTCGTCCATGCTCAATGCAGCTGCTGTGGGAACTTAGTGTCACTGCTTTGGCTACTCAGTGCCACTGGTGTGGGTACTCACTGCTATTGTTGATGGTACCCTATGTTTCCGATTCGTGCTACAGCTATTGTGCTCGACTGATTCTGCTGTTGATTACAAATGACAGTGCTGTAGCTACAAATTGCAACTGGTATGGGTACTCAGTGCTGTGGGTGTTGAAGCCATGTGTACTGAGTGATGAAGCTGTGGGTACTCACTGTTGAAGCTGTGGGTACTCAATAACACTGCTGTCGGTACTAAATGCCAGTAAAATGCCACTAATGTGGGTTTTCAATAGCACTGCAAAGTGTATGTTTGTCAGTGCTCAACCTTACTGTATTTATTACGAGGTGTAGGTCTATGCTCAATGTTATTATTGTCCAGGTCACTGTGAAGACCTTTCTTTGGTGGTATTTACGATAGTGGTCCACCACCTCACATCCTGTTGTCTATATTTTTGTATGTTCTCCTACTATTTTACAATACTATTTCAAAGCTAAATTCGTTATACTGAACCCAGCAACATGATCACATTTTTCCAGCATCGCTCTCTCTCTCTCCATATGCCAATGCCAATGAAACAGGTGAACTCTACTTCACCTACCACATGGACCGTTACGTTCTAAAGTGCACTTTTATAAATAGGCGAAGACTATATTGTAAATTCTCTACTTATTTATAATCATACTTGAATGAATGACAGCTTGGCGATGCATCGTATTTCGTTATACCTGCTTGGCACCAAAGTTCCATTTTATCTCTTGTTGCCGGATGTCTCGAAAACGCGACAAACCGTAATTAGCAAATAACTTCCAAAATTATTCCCATATGTGATTTATACTGTTTATATACAATTACGAGTGAATAATAAAGCTATTAGCATTTTTTGTATCAAAAATGGATCACCTATTTAGTAATAATAATCAATGTAAGTAGGCTGAATTTACGAAGTCAAAACAAATTACGATGCGCGTGAGTCAAGAGAGTGTGACGTCATAAATTTCGACTTGACAACGTGACCGTTGGTACCGATACAACCGTCGGAATGTACCCAATACATAACGACCGGCAGCTGTAGGTAAGAGGTACCTATGCGCAAATGCCTTGCGCTAAATCGGTATGTCGCGGAAACGCGACAGTCGGCGTTAAGGGGTAAAATGCTTTTTACTGGTGGATTAATATAATGTTTGCACAAATTGACGATATTCGACAAAACGTCAAGCTTGCCGTTTGAGACTTATGTCGTTTGTTTGTCTCTAACATGCCTTTACCAATTTGAGACAAGATCAAGACTTAGTGCAGGTCAATTTAAATTATTGATAAAATATCATGTGAGATTCATCTAAATAATTAAAGGGGACGGCGTGGTCTAGTGAGTTCGAATCCGGGTTCAAGTTAAACGAACACTCCCGAGTCTTTCTAGCTCTTAAATAAATAAATATTTATTTAGGATTTCAAAAACACAAGTCATTTAAAGGGCCGCATTATCTCTTCACACACCAACTGTTTATGCCTTATTTTTGGGCAGTGGAATATATACATCAGTTTTCTTTGCGTGAAAGATAACAGATGTTCATAGCTTATCTGTAGAATATTTATTTACATTTAAAGCGACAATTTAAAATTTACTTCCACTTTGTTTTTTCGTGTTTTTTGTTAGTACACACGCCATATCAACGTTTTGCAAACACCAACCAGGTGCGACATTGAGCACCTTTGTAGTAGTGTAACCGGTGGATCTTAAGAACATTTTGGAACACTCTAGAGTGGTTGGCAAGAGGTGCTCTACGTCATCAGTACCAATAGTGAATAAAGTACATTAAAAATTTCTTAGAGCACAACCTTGGGCGCCTGTACGGTATTGTGGACAATTTCTCGCAAAACATCTAAGATCCACTAAATTTAGGGCCTTTTTTTTCATTTTGAGGTGACAGCAAAAATTATCCTAGGACTATTGATCTCAGAAAAAATATATCGTGACAAAATATTTTATGACAATTTTTAAAACATTCGTATGGTTTTAAAGATATGTAATTTGTCTGTGTATTTAAATACAAATTAAACTGTTGAACTAATAGAAAACAAGTTCTTCAAACATTTATAAATGTAAACGTCAATAAAACTCCATAACCTATTTATTTATATATTCAACACAGATGTAAGCTACTCAAAATCTAAGGTGACATCTGGCAAACAATTAGCAGCTAAGCCTTTCCAGGAGCCACGTCACTTGCCACGTATAGGCCACGCAGTAAAGTAGACGCCACATCTAGATATCGGCCCAGCAGTTATTACAAACAGTACTTAGCAACTTGAAAATATAAATGTTCCCTGCTTCAAAACTTGAGAATTCTGGATGCGGATAGGTAAGTTTAGTGTATTATATTCTACGAGATAAATTGCACGTTGAGGAAGGATACAACTGGCACTAGGTTGATAGTGTTGTCTTTCTCTAAATAAAAACCAAAAACAAACTATCACCACCTCAACTTCAAATTTAACCGTAAACGAAAAATGTAATTGGAAACAGATTTCCGACCAGAATCGACATTTTTACCGGAATTAAGTTTGATCTACGCGAGTTACTGCATATTGATACTAAACATAGTGAAAGTCATACCCCTAAACCTTGCATCTAATTTCAAACACGACATAAGTCGCATTAAGGGGGAGGGGGGTTCTGCCCTGCGCACCCCCAAACTCCCCCCACACACCCTAAAGGACGTCTACCGTCCTATTCAAGGAAATATAATTTTTATAAAAACATATTTTTACCAGTGTCCGCCCCCTTCCAAAACATTTAGTCCAACCTCACCCCCGAAAATTTAAAGTATCCCCAACCCCTTCCGGGGAGGAATCACTCTAAAAGAAACACTGGTCGCATTTGTAGATTGTACAAACTAACAGTGGTTCCCAAACTTTTTCGAGTGGCGACCCTTAAATAAAAAAGTAAGTGACCCGCGACCATCATAGAATTAAAAAGTTTAAATTAGTTAGGGTACTTAATAAATACTAAAAACACGATTTCCTAGCAGAATTTCAATTTAAATAATTATTCTTATTAATTGTTTTAACGCGATGGGTGAATGTTCATGTTATTCTCTAGCCTCAACAATCACGGATACTCAAACATTAATTTATTTCTTCGTTTTGTTTTTAATTGGAGAAATGTTAAATAATGTTATCGCAAAAGGAACTAAAACTCAAAAGTCAATCTATTTCACGTTTAGGTATAAATGGTGTATACTACTCCAAAATTGTTTGAGCAGTTTTTCATTTAATACGATGCGTGACGCGGAACCATTCCGCAAATTGAAACATTCTTCTTGTAATTCATCGGGAATGCTGGCAAAATCAAGGGGAATTGGCCACGGGATAATGCAGATGGTTCTTCTTTCAATTCAGGGAAAATAACGTTTTCAAGAGATTCAAGATGCACATAATTCTCTTTCAAATTTGTATTTATCTCTCAATCAGATTCATCTATCACACTGCAGAATTTCTTAAACATGCCAATATTTCTAATCTGTATTTTTCTTCACCAAATGTGCAGTTTTTCTAAAAATGCCAAGAGATTATCATGAAAATAGATAATATTCGTTCATTTGCAGGTTAAACTTATGTTGCTGTTCGAATATATCTGCTAGGTATGCTACTCTCTACAAACAATCTTTTTCGTTTAAGTAAATGAAAAGATCTTGTTTCCTTTACACTACGAAGGACAAGATGATTTCATCTTTCAATTAAAAACACGATTCACATTTCCTATTGTCAGCAAGCGTATTGTAGTGTACAACCTCGTAATCTGTATGCATATCTTTTCACAGTTCATGAAACAGACGGGTGTTTAGGGCTCCAGATTAAAAATAATCTACGACTTTTATTAGCAATAGAGTCGGAGGTGTATTGCTTGCGAGGCATACCGGGGAATGATGAAGTGAATTCCCCTTCATTAGGTAGCTAAATCTTTACGTTTTTTCTGAAAGCCCGATTTTGACACAAACATAACGCACCATCCGTACAAGAATCCCCAAGAATGAATTTCACCATCCTCAACGTGCAGGGTTTGATGAGATTTTCTCTTATTGTGTGGGGTTTATTTTTGCTTGGCAATTTCTAATGCAACTTCATATGATGCTTACACTAATGCTATGTTTTCTTGGTGAAAACTTTCTGTTCTATCAAGTCTCTGACGTGTGCAACTAGCTCCTTGCCGACGAAAGAACTCCATTTCTTTTTTGGTGTGATCCGAATGACTCGTCTCAAAGTGACTTTATAGTTTTGAAGTTTTCTTAGACTCATGACTGAGAACAACTTTGCAAAGTACACATTGTTTATTGTCTATTCCCTTTCCAGTGATTTTAATAAGGCCGAATTTCAGTGATTTTTCTAAATATTTATGGTTTTTTTTCATTCCTATTGTTTAGTGTACCAGCTGGCGACACCACAGGAAACCCTTCCCAATTTGGGAACACATGAGCTAAAGGTAGAGCCTACTTCTTTAATATAGACCTGTCTCCTACTTTTGGCCGATAAACGTCACCCACACAGACAGTATGTGTTTCAGGTTTTTTTCTCCGGAATTCTCTTTCTCTCTCACTCTCACCGAAGAATAGAAAGGCTTAACATAAAAGGAATTGCAAACTATTTGAAATGAAACAAAGTTAATAAACAGTTGAAATGAATGAAGTCATTGATTGTAGAGTTTTTAAAAATATAATAAAAACTTGAATGTTGAAAATAATTCACAGTTTTAACGACGTCAGTGATAATAGATTCACAACATTTACTGGGTAAGGTTTAATTTCCGGTTGAAATTCCATCTCCAGATAATGTTCCGTTTTTGATTCAATTTTGTCTTCGGTTACATTTCATTTACTGGCTACATTTTCCTTTCCGGTGACATTTCCGTATTCGGTTCAAATGCAGTTTCCGATAATACTTTAGTTGACGGTTAGCGATCTTATTCTGTTGAGAAATGCAGTAACGGATAAAGCTTTATTTCCGGTTTTTATTTTTATTTCTGTTCCCGTTACGTTTAATATTTCGGTTCGATCTGAATTTTTGTTTTATCTTTAATTTCGGATTACGATAAAACTTACAGTCCTGTTAAATTTCCAATTAAGGTACGAGTACAAAGTCAAGTATTGCAAGTAACGATATTTATTGCAGGTAAATTTAATGATCAGGATAGCAATACATTTCCGGTTTGAGAAAAACTATCAATTTCAGTTTGAGATTTAGGTTTAGACTTTGGTTAATCAGTTTGATTTAGAGAAAAAAAAAGAAACATTATGAGACTTATGCCTCTTTGATCTCCCCCTAAACAACATAAATGTCTAGTTTAAAATCGAACTCTAAAGAGTAAACTATAGGGCGTCGAGTCCCAATTACGACAATGAAACAACACGTTTTGTTGGTTTCTTATCTACTTTAAATTACTTGACGTTAGTGGAAGGAACAAATGAGAAGATCAGCTCAATTGTAGATGGCGTAAACAACACGACAAGCCCACATGTTAATGGCAGGGATGACGAGACCAGCCCTAATCCTCAAAGCAGATTATCTGAGGGAGTAAATCTTACCTGTCATTATAATTATAAATCATTTATCGGTCTTTTATACTGCTCTAGGTTGGGTTTACATGTAAATTATATATATATATATATATATATATATATATATATATATATATATATATATATATATATATATAATATGGTATTATACTTTCTCGTTAACTAAATAGGAAGTATAGCAATAGTGCAAAAAATCGAAATCGAGGCTTTAACTAATCTCGAAGTTTAACACCTACCAGTGTCAGAAAATTTTAGCTTTAAATGTCTATATGTATAAATATTTCTGTGTGTCTGTCTATTTGTCTGTGAACACGATAATATGATTAGCGTTTCGGTTATATTGACAAAATGTCATTTATATTTTTATAGTAAATTTGTAGCTCTGTATTTGCTTTTAAACTATTTCCGGCAACCAGAAATATCACTTGCTCTACATCCCGTTTCTCAAAAGCCAATAATTTTAATACTGTTTAAGATAAGTGGACAAAATTTCGCTGAAAGTATTACATCATTTGCGCAGGATTCTACCGAACTTGAAGCAATTTCCGTTAGCCGGAAGTTCTTATTTTATCATGCCCTTGTAAAAACTGTAACTTGGGTAAATTTCCCATTAGATTGACGCAATATCATATATAGTTATCAGATTTTATTCTTGGATTCCTTTCAATTTTTGTTTACCTCCGATAAACGGAACTCGTACTTTGATCTGTTTCTAAAGTACCAATAACTCATACCGCTTACGTTGGCGTTACACATTTTTTAAATATAGGTAAACAATCCTTTACTATTCATTCTGTCAAATGTGTGCGTGATCCCAGGCGAACGAAAGTATTACTTTCTGCGTTTCTTCTTTTTTCTGAAAACAGATTACTTCCACAGGAAAGATGTGTATACAAAATTCACATAGATCTAAACTCGATAATATAAAAAAAAAACTTTCGCTGCGTTAAATTTATAATAACTTTTTCAAAACTAGTTTTTCTTATACATTATACGCAGATAACTTACGTTTTTTTGAATGCTTTGTTCGATTATGCGATTATATTCTAATTAATTGATAAAATGTACGAGACATTTTAAACTCTTGAGATGAAAGTATTGTGTTGTTATCTGTAAACTCTGCCGCCGTTATTTTATTATATTAATTCAAGTACTTGTCATAGCTTGTTTGAATAAAGTCTAGTATCGGAACTTTCGGGTTTGTTGTCTGGTTCTATATAATTCGATACAAATCTTCACCGTTTCCCATTAAATGGGTTCTCACTTAGGCAGGCATCCTAACCGTCCTTGTTTACTCTAGTATACTAAATATGAATCATAGAGCAGGTATTGTTTTGTTTCCTAATATAGACCTACGTCTTCGTATATATATGTGTATGTGTATGTGTATGTGTATGTGTATGTGTATGTGTATGTGTATGTGTATGTGTATGTGTATGTGTATGTGTATGTGTATGTGTATGTGTATGTGTATGTGTATGTGTATGTGTATGTGTATGTGTATGTGTATGTGTATGTGTATGTGTATGTGTATGTGTATGTGTATGTGTATGTGTATGTGTATGTGTATGTGTATGTGTATGTGTATGTGTATGTGTATGTGTATGTGTATGTGTATGTGTATGTGTATGTGTATGTGTATGTGTATGTGTATGTGTATGTGTATGTGTATGTGTATGTGTATGTGTATGTGTATGTGTATGTGTATGTGTATGTGTATGTGTATGTGTATGTGTATGTGTATGTGTATGTGTATGTGTATGTGTATGTGTATGTGTATGTGTATG